GAAGAATTAGATAAAAGTGCAACAAGGCATGAAAAGCAGGAGTTCACACTGAGAGAGAACAGAGCCTTCGCTACATTATATTACGGAATTAAAACTTGAGTTCAGGCCGCTGATACAAGAATGTTCAAGTGGTAAGGAAGCATGGGAAGTTCTACAGAAGCAATTGGAACGCAAAAACAAGAGCAAGGAGTAATTCAGTTACTGGATGAATTTTTTAGTAGCATTAGATATACCGCCAAATGAAGAAATAGGAATTATTCATCACCAAGGATAAGAATGACTTGCAAAGAAGTTGGCTGAAAGCTGAGTCACAACTTGGCAGATCTTTTTAAAGGATTTCAGGCAATAAGGAGATTACCCCAGGAATACTCTGGCATTGTACAGTTGATCTATAGGTGGAAGGAACGAAGATTTTACGCTGGAAAGAATTGCTGAAGAATTTGGTAAGGGAAGAAAGTTGCCGACTTCGCCAGGTAAATGCCGATTTAGAAGACAGCAAGGTAAGCGTGTTTAATACTATTAGTTCAAATTGCAGGGAAAGATAGAGTTGAAAATAAAACTAAATCTAAGAAAAAAATGGAGAATATGAGAATAGGACCTTGTTTTCAGATGTCATAAATTTGGACACGTAATCGCTCAATGTAAAGAAAATGTAAGTAAAAATCAGAAGTTTAAAATAGACGATAAAAATAGACAGTTTAAAGATAAAGAATTAATGTTAGTAGAAAATTATGTAACAACTACAGATAAAGGAGGTAACGCAGATAAATTTAATTGGGTCGTAGATACTGCAGCTACAACTCATTTCTGTAATAATAGAAATTTAATGACAAATTTTGAAGAAATAAACGATATACGTATGTCTTTAGGTGTAGGAAATTGTGAAAGTAAAGTACTAGGAAAGGGTACCATCAAATTTGCAGTAAAAGTAGGCAATCGAATAAATTGGATTGAGTTAGATAATGTGTTATATAATCCAAATCTAAGAAGAAATTTATTATCGGGAGCAAGGTTAGAAAAGGCAGGTGCTCATTTTGTGATTTCAAAAGGGAAGATGTGGATATACTGTAATAATTGGGATAGATTATGCTACGCTAAACGATATGACGGACTTTATCACGTAAAACCATTTAGATATGCAACAAATAAAAGGAAAGCTGGTTACGGTACAGAAATTGAAAAGTTAAATAAAGTAGATGATGCGATGCTATGGCATCGGAGATTTAGCCACGTAAATTTTGATTATATTAAGAAAACTAGTAAGAATCAGAGCATGAAAGGGTTACCCAGAAATTGGAAAACCAATGGAGAGGTGTGAACCGTGTATTATTGCTAATATCTAGTAGAATAACTTTTAAAACTGTTCCGAAAGAGATCGGATAAACCATTGCAGTTGGTTTATTTAGATGTTTATAGCCCACTACCAGTTCCATCTAAGGGTGGGAGTAAATATTTTCTTGCTATTGTAGATGACTATAGTAGATTAGTAGCAGTGTATTGTATGAAAAATAAAAATGAATCGTTCTACAACTTTAAGAATTATCATAGACAAATGGAAAGACTGACGAATAGAAAATTAATAAGTATACGCACTGATAACGGTGGGGAATTCTGTAACAGGCAATTCAAAGTGTACCTAGCCGAAAATGGAATTAGAGTTGAACGTACAAATACTTACATCCCAGAAGAGGAATGGTGCATGTGAACGTTTTAACCGAATGGCATTTAGACGCAGTTAAAGTTATTGCTTAATGATGGTTAAAATGGGAAAGGAATGGTGGGGCAGAAGCTCTTGGCATGTTTCATACATACTTGGAACAGGGTATGTCATAAGAAGCAATCAAACCCCCTGATGAAAGTTGTTCTTCAATAGAAAAACCCAGTGTTGTTTATTTTTAAAATATTTGGTTGTAAAAGCCTATATTGCTATGCCAAAACACATTAGAGATAAATTTACAAATGAGATGCAAAAAGAAGGAATCATGGTAGGATATGCGAAGGAAACTAGAGGTTATAGGATATGGCTGCCAGAAGAATGCAGATTAATAGAAACCTGTAATGTGAAGTTCGATGAAAAACTGTATGCAGCAATGGCATCCTGGAACAGAAAACAAAACCTAAATTTTAAAGACTAGAGGAATCTGAGCTATTAGCAGAATCATTAAGAACAGGAAATTTCTAGAGAAGAAATAAAGTTGTCAGATGACAAATCTACTCCGAAAGAAGTATCAGACTTAACTGGCAAAGAAAAGCAGTTAAAAGGCCCAGATGGAACACGTACAGACATATATTATTATGTAAGAGGAACAGAGACCTGTTTTAGATCCTATAATGATATTGAAAAGTATTGTGAGGCAAGAAATATTAAATTTGAAAAAGATAAGTTTCGATTTTGTGGAAAAAACGAATACTCGGGGAAAGTTAATTTTGTAGAACAGGAGACTAGCTCTGTGTCGAAGAGGCAAATTCCGTAGAAATTGTTATCCCACAAAATTTTAAAGAAGCCGAAAATCAGTAAATGCCGAAGAATGGTATAAGGCAATGAAGAAGAAATCGACACAATGAAGAAAAGAAGGTTTTGGGAATTAGTCGAAAAGCCAGAAAATAAAACTATAATAGAAAACAAATGGGTCTGTATGCTAAAAAGAAATGAAAAGAATCAAGTGGTTAGATACAAAGCACGTTTTGTAGCACAGGGATTCAGGCAGAAAAGAGGTGAAGATTATGATGATGTTTAGTCCTGTAGTAAATTTTGCAGTCATAAGAATATTTTTCACTATCCTGGTATGTTTATATGGATGGATTAATTGTCAGTTAGATGTAAAGAACACATATTTATATGCAAACCTAAATGAGAAAATATATATGACCCAACCAGAGGGATTTATCGAAGAGGAAAATAAAGCGTGTTTATTGCACAAGGCCATTTACGGTCTACATCAAAGCGGGCCATTGAATGGTTTTGTGAATTTGAAAGTACTTTAGAAAATCTACATTTTAAGAAAAATACAATGGTGTAATTGTGTTTATAAGAGTTCAAATGTAATTCTCTTGTTATATGTAGATGATATTGTGATTTTTAGTAAAGATCAATATAGTATAGATAAAGTAATTTCACAGCTGAGTAAGTTTTTTTATCTTAAAGCATTAGGCAAAACTAAAACTTTACTTGGAATTGAATTCTTAGAGAATGAGAATGGGGTTTTTTATACATCAGCAAAATATATCGAAGAAATTTTTGAAAAATTTAAACATTTCCAGATACCAATAACTTCACTTCCATAGCTAAAGGCACTATTCTTACAAATTAGATTGTCCATCTACAAGTGCAGAAATTGCGAAAATGCATACATTACCCTTTAGAAATCTGTTAGGATGTTTAGTTTTTTGTAGCTAACAGACAAGGCCTGATATTAACATATGCAGTGAATATCTTATCACAATTTCAGGAGAATCCTGGAATTAGGCATTGGGAGGCATTGTTGAAATTGCTTGGTTAATAGTACTAAATTATATAAGTTAAACTTATCGAAGATTAAACATCTAAATTTGTATTGTTATTCAGATGCTGATTATGCAAGTAATAGAGATGACCGCGTGTCCATGGGAGGACTTATATTATATTTAGATGAAGTACCGGTAATCTGGAAAACTTAAACAAAATTGTGTAAGTTTATCAACCATGGAAGCGGAGTATATCTCCTTATCTGAAGCAGCGAAGGAATTATGTGACGAAAAATGTCTTACAAGATGAAATTTTAAGTTTAATTTAAGAGAGTGTAAACTATTTGTGATAACAGTCTGCCATTGATTTTTTTAGATCAATAGAAAATCGCCGAACTAAGCACAGACGTAAAATATCACTTTGTTAGAAGACTAGTAAATATGGAGTGTTTGACCTTGAATTATCACCAGTAAATTAAAATACTGCGGACTTATTTACAAAAGCAGCGACTGCTGTTAATTTAAGGAAGTTTTGTTTAGATGTTTTCAGTGTTTAAGACAATAAGTGTTTCGTATAAAAGAATTGAACTATGAACTTCTGTGTAAGTTTTGTTTTGTCTTTGCATGAGGAAAAGAGGGCCGTTTGTTGGCTTTAGTTTTCCACATGCAAATTTGATCGGAGGGTCAATCGGCGGTAAGCTAAAGTATTGGCCTGACGTCAAGATCGGCGGGTTGACGATTATTATATATAATGGCCGTATAATGTTCTTGTTCTCTTGTGTGATTGAGTTAGCATTATGCTAGTTTTCTTACTATGATTTTAATTGTAAAGGCTACGTGTTAGTTCTTTTATTAATTTACGGAATAAAGCATGAATTTATTTAGATTATCTTAGCTTTAAAGAAGCAAAATATGCTTTGCTCATCACCATGCAACCCCCACCCCCCCCGCGCAGAGCAGCGCAAAATTTATAAACAGACTCGGAATGTTAGAGACAAAGAGCTTATGCATTTTTGCAGCAATTTCACTTTTGTTGTGGAGATCAAAGCTGCTTTCCCTTTGTAGATCCGCTCGGAAATTCTATTGACGTAATCGAAGTTCAACTTACTTTAAAAATCTTAACTCTGCAAAAAATAATAGCCGTTCCAATTCGAGATAAGGAACAATGATCTGCACATAATGAATAATAATTAGATAATTTGCTTAGTTATACCGTTTTTATACATTAAACGCATGCAAATTATTGGCGCATGCGAAAGGGTAGCGCATTGCGTGACGTATGCGCAGAAAGTTGTAGCTTTGAGGTCCGGATTAACGACTTTTGACTGTATAAAAATGGTGAATTGTAGACAAAGTAAAAAGTGTAATAGTAAATGTTCTATATAAATTTAAATAATTGTATCTAAATTCCTCTTGCCTGTATATTATTCTTCATTAATTTCTCTTAAATTATTAATTCTTTAAATTTTTCTCTGATTTTTATAGTTTGTGTGATAAATTATTAACATTTGAAAATAGTTCTCTTACTTGATTTTCTTCTTAAAACTCTGTTATAGTATGCAATATGGACATCTCTTTGGTTAGGATGGAACATATTTGTTATTTGTATATATTTTGAAGCTGGCATTTTAACAAGAGTAAGTAGATATTTCTATTATTTATGTGTTTATTCTGTTTGATGTATATCTGTATGATCAGCTAAAAGAGCAATTCTGTAATTATTGAGATACAGAGTATACTTACACATGTTAGGAATCTTCAGTTAATACAACGTAATAAGATGCAAACAAAAATCTTACTATAAAATAAAAAGATTACAATATCAACACCAAATATAATTTTATATACCAACTCAGTAGTCAAAAACTCATCTTCTATTTTTTAAGAAATTCGATTCTAAAGATAAAAACTGTTCCCAAAACCCCTAATACAATAATATGCAAAGTAAGCATTTATGATTATTAAAATATAATGAGAATTAAAATATTAAAATATTGTGAGTTAGAATAGCAGAGAAACACGCCAATGTGACGATTAAAATCGCAATAACAACCTTGTATTTAGCGTACATAAATTAAAACACTCAATCGATTTCGAGGGCAGGTAAAGGTCCTCATCAAGAGAACAAAATTACTAGAAAGAGGAAAAAAGAAGAAAGATAAAGCATTGGGGTTCAGACTTAGTGTGTGAAGGTGCTGTTGCCCCTTGCTCCCTATTTTTTGACTTCGCTGATTTGTTTGCATTTTAGTCTATGTGTTATATGTTTGATCAGATAACCTGGCTGTTTCTGAGACTCCTTTGCCAATCTTTATTTTTCTTCTTTTTTTCCTCTTTCTAGTAATTTTGTTCTCCTGATGAGGAGGGACCTTTATCTGCCCTCGAAATCGATTTTTTTAATTTATGTATGCTAAATACAAGGTTGTTATTGCAATTTTAATTATTATGTGTTACTTTCAAACTAATTATTTACATTTGAGGCCATTACAAGGGAAACTATATGATCTGACAAATGAATACCCATCAACATTGAGGCATTTTTTTAAAATTAAATTTTCTATAAATTGGAATCATTCTACCTCATACATTTTTAGAATAGAATTGTAAATATTCTGTTATCGCAAGGGTAATCTTTTTCTCCAATATAGAATAGTGCTTTCTTTGTTCTGGATCTCTAATGTTACTTTCTCTTAAAAAAGTTTAAATTTTTCAGTGCTATACAGATTGAGGGATTTTTGGTCAATCTTGCAATGTATTGTTGGGACTACAGAAAGGCAATATTGGAACCAAGAAATCTTTACAATCTGCTGTTCCATTAATTTAATAACATTCATTAGTTCTGTACTTCTGGGGGGGGGCTTTCCTTACTTTTTTCATCAAGTAATTATACTTTATATTTTAATATATATCTGCTCATTATAAAAAAGTGAGTTTTATCAACTATTATAATTTTTGAATTGTCATTACTACTAGACTACTGTTATTAATTACAGAGTTCCCATTGATGGTACTGATAAAGCTTTAAATAAATCATTTTGCTGTCAAAGACATTCTGCTGTTGGAAATAACTCTGACATTATTCCATTTCACCCTTCTCTCAGCTGTAAATTCATAAAAATTTGCCACAAGTTCAATTTTCAGGTCGTATTCTCACCTATCAAGAAAATTTATTGTTGGCTTCATGGCTTCATAAAGATTTCATCTCTGCCTATAATTCTTATGGAATTTGTAGCATATCCTGTCAGTGTAGTTTGAAATATACTGGCTCAACTAAAGGATATAACAATTTTTCATTTTTCATCAAGGAACACAAATCGTATATTTAAAATGGGGAAATAAACAAATTTTGGATCACCAACAACGGAAACAAATTTTGGATCACCAACAACGGTTGGAAATTTAATTACAATTTTGACATTAATTCTGTGAAAAATTGTTCATAGAATTTCTTCATTTGGTAAATTGGACTTCCATAACACTTTTCATATTCATAAAAACTTATATTCTTTGGCTAATGATTTTAATTCGTATCAGATGCTTTGTAATTCTTTTATTATTCTAATATCTTGGTTTTTTACATTTCATTATTATTTTTCTTGACAGATGGCCATCTGTTAATTGTTTGTTTTGTTCTGCTCATTTCTTTCAACATAATAGATTGGTCTTGTCTTCCGATTTTGCAGTTTTTACTCCTCCTTCTGAAGAAGAGGAATCTGCAACTAATGCTTGTCAAAATCAATAGAGATTTTAATCAAAATAAGGTTCTTGTTTTACCTAATTTTTAATTTTACATTGCCGTGTTTCTCTTCCAATTTAAATATTATACCAGCTTTCTGGCATCAAACTGCAAAGCAGTTTTTTTAACGTTCAGTTTTTCAAGAATTGTATTACTGAGGCTTCAATATTAAGGGCAACCTTCAATCATTTGGTAAATGCGCATACTCGAGGCCGTTCCTACCAGAGGTGCAGCGCGTAAAAGTATATGGGCAGCGAAAATCGGGTGTTAGAACTCTTGTGATGCCACGCCTTAAGTTTATTAAATTCATTGTAAGTGCTTGTCATATGCAAGTACTTTTTATACAACTTGTGATAAGTAAGTACTTAGTGAGTACGAAATAAAAATTTTATTAATCATTGAGCTTTTTTTTTAAAAAGAAAATCGGGAGTAGCAATTTTGGGAAAGTACACAGACAGCCAATGGCCTTGCACGTACTACTAAATGGTATCATTTTATCTACACTTATGACATCTGGTTAGTGATTCTACAATACTAAATGCCATATGTAATTTTTACATGCATTCTTTTTCATTTAAACCTACTTCAAAATCGTATCCATCAATACCATCATTCCAAATCCATGATTTGTAATATAGGAACTGCCAGAATTGGATTTCAAGTTGCTATTGATATGTTTACAATGTATCAAATACATATATATTTTCTCTGCATAATCCTGAAATTAATTCTAGCAGTATGATGACATACCATCACGAAATTTAATGCACATATTTTTTGCTTATGCATGCTATTAAATAAATATAAAATACCCGAATTTAATTAAAAATGTCATTAAATAGATTTTTCTTTTGTTTTAGCTGCAAAATGCTTGCAAAAAAAAAAGGCATTTTTTAATCCAGGTTGAGCAGATTCTAATCTCAATCTTCAGTGGAGAAAACAACAGAGAAAGTGCAGAATCACCCACTGCTTGGCGTTTTTTTAAGAATTGCACATACTCTGTATCCATGTACACACCAACCTATTTTCAGTTAAAAAAACATCCCAGAATTGCACAAAAATGGCTTTGTGCACTCCTTTGACTTTATCCATGTACACATCAACCTATTTTCACTTAAAAGGTCAAAGAAAATTAACAAAAATCCAATTCTTCTTACTCTTGTAAAACCCGCCAAACAAATAAATGGGTGATTCTGCACTTTAGCCAATAAAACAACTCCTATTAAAGTTATAATAGTAATGCTTTAGGGATTATATAAGTCATATGTAATGTATATATATATATATAAGGCATATGTAATTGGCAAATTTTTGTGTTTTCAAGTGTTACTATAATTAGTTTACCTCTTAGCACAGCCAATGGGCATTATGCGGATAGACTGGAATTTTCTAAAACACACCTGGAAAAGTCAGAATTTCATTTTCCTGTTTGAGTAGCAACCCTGTTTCAGGCATTAAGCTAGAACCTTAAAAATCAGACTGTAATTTCTGTTGCTTCCTCCCCCCCAATCTGTCCCCTTCAGTAACACCTTGTTAAAAAGACATCAAAATCTTGGGTACTCTTCTATTATCGGGACTACATTCAGAAATTTATGTATGTATTGCACGCGAGTATATATGTTTGTGCGTATATGTTTATACACACACATATGTATGCACGTTTATACATATGCACATGCATATGTGTGCGTATGTACATACATCCATACGTGCATACCATACATACATACATTTATTTATGAGTAAAATCCTGATAATGGAAGAGTATCAAATGTTGTACCATATGGTTTTCATGATTTATAGCTTTTGTTAAATAACACTAAGTCTTTATATGCCTACTAAAGGGAAAAAAGTAGATAATATAAGTACATATTTCTTTCCATTATATTATATGATTTAATATCAAAATACATTGCTTTAATTTTAATCTGAGAGCCTTTATGGTTATGCTGTACTAAATGCATTTAATATTTGATATACAGTACAAAGTCTTAATCCGGACTCGTCGGGACTTCGGTGATTCCAGATTGGTGTTTATTCTGGATTATAGATCATTAATTTAAATTTGGTAAGATGGCATGCAAAAATTATAAAATGAACATATGAAATAAAAGCATTTTATCAAAATTTACAAAAAAAAAAGCTTAATATTTATTTGTTTACTTTATTAAACTTTCTTTCAATGTAAGTTGTTTAAGTGCTTTCGTTTTATGTGCTAATACTTTCTCTTTAATTTCTATAACAGATATAATTTTGTTCAGTTTACAAAGTTTCTGTTCAAGTCATGTAATTGCTGTGTCGAGAATACCGACTATTGTCAATGAATTTTTTTTTTTTTTTCCTAACCTCTTGTCACTTTCTTCATGCCTTTATCCATTTTTTTGCAGCAATTCCACTTTTTGTTTAATGGACATCGAAACATGCTTTCGCTTTGTAGATCCTTTGGCAGCTCCAGAATTGCAAATTCTTTTGACATAATCGAAAGTTCAAGCTTACTTTTTATAAAATTGCTCTAACAGTCTGCAAAAAATAATAAGCCGGATCCAATTAGAAGATTAAGGAACAACGCAATCTGCAACATTAACTGAAATAGATAATTTTAGCCTAGCTTATACCGTCCGTTATACATTAAAGCGCATGCTTAAACATTATGGCATGCATGCATTAGAAAGTTTGTAGCTTTGAGGTCCGGATTATAGATCATTCCGGATTATGGACGTCCGGATTAAAGACTTTGTACTGTATATATATTTTTTCGTTCAAAATATTGTTATGAAATCTTCGTAATGTTTTTCTATTTTAAAGTTATTACTATGTGTTTTCAAATATTTCTTTATCCATTCATATCATTTGTGTTGTTTATCTATTCATATTATTCATGTTATGCAGCTGTAAGTTAAAATG